GCATTGCAAATCTGTGCTTGTAGTTGCTCGGTGCCTCCTGTAGAGCTCACTGACCTCCTCCCTATTACCGGTGATGCTGTAAAGAGGGTGACACAAAAACCCCAGCCCTGAGCTACTCGGGTTCACAATGGAGGCATGTCCCCTAAATCAAGGTTGGCAAGTTTTGGAGATTGCTTCCTTGCCACATGTCAGCAGTGGTAAGGGTGGGAGGCAGGGAGTGGTGCCAAAATAGTCGGGGCATTTGGGGCAGCAAAATGCCTTGAGCAAGCCTTGGATGTGAACAAAGCTTGCAGGAGTTACCTTTAAGCTTCTGCTTTCTGCTGTGCCTACGCATTCTGCTCATGGCCCCTTGATACTGTTGAACAATGCTGAGGGAAACATCATTCTAAACCGAACACGCAAATGGTCTTTATTTAAAAGGAGTCAGTTGGAACTTTCTCTATAGGATCGTATTTTTCATAACCTAATTTTCATACCAGAATTTCAGCTGAAATAAGCATGCCTTTCTTTCACTGTGATCGAAGCATTGACTATGATTCAATTGAGGATATTTCTCTTTTAAAATAGGTAAATAATAATAGCCGATTCTATCTGCAATGGCTATAAGAATAAAACCTCTTCCCAATAGCTAACAATACAAAACAGTCCAGTGGAGCCTGAGCGGTGGGCGTTGCCTTCTGACACACTTCCGGTGACGTCAGGGGGTGTGGCATATGCAAATAAGTTGTGCAAATAAGTTATGCTAATGAGCTCCTGCACCTCTTTTTTTACGAAATGACCCCTGCTAATATGTACTTAACCTATTTCCAGCTGATGCAGTCGTTACACATCACATCTTTCTAGAGCTTGTTGTATTGCTTTTAAAAAGGGCTTTACTGCTAGTAATAATAATTATCTGGCAGCCAGAAATTCTAGCTCTTTTAGCGGTATGCACCACTAGGCGGCAAGCTAGACTTGTTTTGAAGGGAAGAGATGTTTCAGAGGTGATTTGCCATTGCATGCCTCTGAGTCACACCCTTGGCATTCCTTGGAGGTTGCCCATCCAAATACTAGCCAAGGCCAACCTTTGGCATACACCACTCCACAACTCCTCAGTTATTCTGCGATGTGGGTCAGTATCAAACAGAGTTTGAGAGCTGGTGGCTTTGCTGAAGCTCCTCAGGGCCGAACTGGCTTTGTGCCCTTACTGAATCTCATTTTGTCAATTTCAGAGCAAGTTAGACTCCCCCTCCCATTTGAGGGTTCTTTATATATGCACTGATTTTCTCCCCAAGGGGAACCCCAAAGCCACTTACATCATTCTCCCCTCCTCAAGTTTATCCTCACAACAACCCTGTGAGGTAGGTTAGGCTGAGAGAAAGAATGAGAGTGGCCCATGGTCACCCAGCAAATTTCCATAGCAGAATGGGGATTTGAACCCGAGTCTCCCAGATCCTAGACCGACACTTTAACCACTATACGACACTGACTCTTCCTGCATAGCTGAAAAGTTAAATTACTCAGGCTGGGCCTTCATAACTTTTAGTTCACAAAGCTGAATGGATCTTATTGGTCATCTAGAGTGGTTGTTGACATACATGTGCACATACATATGCATACTATTTTTGCAGTCCCTGACAGGCAGAAAATGGAGGGAGGGGGGTCAGCTGGCTGGGAGAGGATGGATCAGAAATCCTTTAGATGGAAGTCCTGGCAGTCGCGATTGAATTATATACTTGCTGTGCATGTAAACTGTTGCCCCCTGCTGGAGAATTATAATAAAGAACAGTCTAGGCACACTTGTGGGGAACTGTACTGTCTTAGAGCCAGCGATGCTGTTTTTTTGACATGTTCTGTTTTGGACACCCAAAGGGTTTGTTTAGAATCCTGCTGTTGCCTGCTGATGTCACATCTTGCATTTTTATTGGCTTTGGAAAGCTGTGAGTCATTTTGCACTGGAAATGTACTTTTGATGTTCGACAGCACAAATGGTATGCCATTGTGAGAGCTATCTGATCTTGGGCATCATCTAGCACAGTGAGAGAGAGAGGTGTCCCCTGCCTGTGCTGGGCAGCTGTGGAGAAAGCAATGCTTTGTCCGGAAAGATCCTTGGGGGATTGTGTGTGTTTGATGCAGACCAGACATTACCCCGCCCCTGAACAATTGTTTTCTCTTAGGAGGGGAGGAGGATCTAGTTGAATGCCTGCATGTTATGAAACTGTGTGGTGAGAAGAGGTGGAAATGCTGTTTTGTCCAATGCACTTATTCTTCTAAATTCTTATTTATAGATAGCAGAACAAATTAAACTCAAGCATAGGGGTGCCCACTCCAGGTTGGGAAATTCCTGAAGATTTTTTTGGGGGGAGCCTGAGGAGGCAGGGTTTGGGGACAGGAGGGGGACATCAGTGGGGTACAGTGCCATAGAGTCCACCCTCCAAAGCAGCCATTTTTTCCAGGGGATCTAATCTCTGTAGCCTGGAAATCAGTTGTAACTCCAGATCTCCAGGCCCCACCTAGAGATTGGCAACCCTATATCAAGCACCAGATTCCAGCTTCAGATCATCATTTTGCTTTGAGGTGGGTGGCTGTCTACTCCTCTGAACTCCTTCCCTCTTTTTTTTAAAAAAAGCTGGACATCTGTGCTCACCAGCTGTTCGAATATGCCAGATTTGAGAACAGCACAGTGTTAGTCAGTTTGGTGTAGTGGTTAAGTGCGCGGAGTCTAATCTGGGAGAACCGGGTTTGATCCCCCACTCCTCCACTCGCAGCTGCTGGATGACTTTGGGCAAGCCATAGTTCTGTCAGAGGTGTTCTTGAAAAGAGCAGCTCTTGAAAGAGCTCTCTCAGCCCCACCTACCTCACAGGGTGTCTTTTGTGAGGAGGGGAAGGGAAAGGAGTTTGTAAGCCGCTCTGAGACTCAGAGGGAAGGGCGGGGTATAAATCCAATCTCCTTTTCTTCTTCTTAGTCCTCACGGTCCTTCAAATATGTGTTCTATCCTTCTTGTGCTCTTTCAGCCATTAAGGGTTGCATAAACCAGTGCAGTGTGGAGATTAAATGTATGAAAGGGGCAGATCTGATACCCCAAAGGAGGGCTTTTTGGACATGCCCGAATCCTAGGTGACACTGCCTTCTGCTGAGTCAGATCACTTATTATCAAGGTCAGTGTTGTAGTCTCAGACTAACCATGACAGCTCTCCATGGTCACAGCTAGTTGGTGCTGTTTGACATTTACGCCTCAAAAGCTCTCAGGCCAGCCCTGTGCTCTTTGGCATTCATTGTCTTGTTCAGCCTATGAGCTTCTCTCTTAATGTCCTGGCATTACATTTGTACTCCCCAAAAAAAACTACAGCAGCAGTTCTTCAGAACAGTCTTGATCCAGAAACGAGCATCTGTTGTAGCTGGTTTCCCTCCCAACACACTGTTTGCTTTTAGCAGACATTAATGCATTGCCTTTGTATAGCTAGCAGAGCTGAAAGTTGCCAGAAGGGTTGTGAGCCAATTAAACAAGGGAGGGTGTTTTTAGTCCCTGAACTGTGTTGCTTTCATGGAGTTGGTTGTAGATGTAAAAATGCAATACTTAGAATCCCCAAGAATCACCCCCTCCCCATAGGATAACATCCCTGTATCCTATGAAAGGAAGCCTTTGGCAAAACTGTTCACAAAATCAAGGCATATCCCATTCTTCTGCAGCACTTGAAATTTGTTTCAGGGGTGAGTGCCTTGTCCCAGGGGAGGGTCTTTCAGCCCATTTAGGATATAGAGGTGAAAGAAGAGGAGCTGAACCACTTCCTTAGCTGGGCCTGCCCAAAGACCTCTTTGCCTAAGCTGTGTTTCCATTCCCTGATAAGGCAATTGGTTGACTGATTAATCAGCATGCTCTTTAAAAGCACAGGTCACAGACTGAACACATAGTATTTTCTATCCCTTGTTGGGACTATGTATCTGAAAGGTGTTTATTTTATTTTTTTTAATGATGAGTTCCAGTTGAAATCTCAACTATAGGCTGCATTCAGACAGTTACAAACAAACTCCAGTTTCTCCATGACCAAAAGGATCTGGGAAGTCCTCAGGCTCACACACTCTCTCATCCTTCCCCTAAGCCCAGAGCTGAGACTTTCTGGTTTGGAAAGCAACTGCAGTTCATTGTGATGTCCAGAGCGGCCCCTTTAACAAGCCATGGCTTGTTTCTTGCCCACAAACTGGGATTCTAAACAGGGATGAGTCCCTGTTTGTCAGCCAGGACCAAACAGCAGTTTTTTTCAAACTCGAGTCTCCAATCTTGGCTCCATGTATTGGGGTGGGGGGGATTCTGTGACCTGTTCTCATCCTGCCCAAGCCAGAATTTGTTTGTGATCTCTAAGGGCTGAACTGTGTATTATGTTTTTACACGAGTTTGCCATGGGGACTTGCCAGCCATACTGCAGCCGTCAGTCTTCAGTGGCAACTCTTGTGTAAAAGCACAGTAGGGACCCAATTCAGACCAGGATCACTGTACAGGTGGAGGAGAGTCTCCTGCCTCTCACTTCCAGTGTCCAGCAGATGATTGACAGCTTCAGTATGATGAGTCCCCATTGGCAGCACATGTAAAATATAATGTGTAGTTTGGCTCTGAACACAGCCTTAAGGGGGCATGTGTTCTCCAGTCCCTCCTCCACCCCCACACTGTCTGTGATGTCTGTGAAACCGCCAGCTTAACCTCTCTGTTGTCAAGCCCAGCTGAAGTGACGCTTATGTACTGGCAATTGCATTTGCTTCTCCACTTCTGTTTCCTCCATTAGCCTTGTGTCTCCTTCCACCCCCTTTTGGTTGTGTCACCTAGACTCTTGCATTGTAGTCTCTGCAGGGAGGCAGTCTGGTTTGTTGTTGTTTGTGGAACTTTGTAAAGGGCATTGTACACTGATGGGCTCATCTCAATACTAAACAAGAACAGTGTAGATACTAAATTCCTTGTGTAAGCCGCCACCACAAGAGAAACAAAACGCAGATCCACTCAAACGGCCCTTGTTTTCTATTGATGTAGGAGGTCTCCGGGGAGCCACAGTGGTGGATGCTTTAGATACTCTGTACATGATGGAGCTGCAAGAAGAATTCCAAGAAGCCAAAAATTGGGTGGAGCAGAGCTTTGATTTGAATGTGGTGAGTCACTCTTTGAATATGTTTCTCTCTGCTGTGAATACTGCCTGCTGTGTTTGAACCCTGAAGTTCTGACCTCAGGTTGGTCTTTGTTTTGTCTTTTGGGGAGGGGTACAAATAAGCTGAAAAATAGAAAACATATATTATGCTGGGGAGCAAAGAGCCAAAATATCAGAGAGGCAATAATGCCTATGATTCTTCTTATTCTTTAACCACAGACCTTGGTACCTGGCTAAAATCCAATCAGTGACCAATCAGGTGTCATCTTTTTCTGTCTCTTGCGTTTTCACTGCCTGGCAGGGTTAGTAGATGAGAAACCAAGAATGTGGGTGGGCAGCTGAAATGTAAGGACTTGGTTTAACTTGTAATTCAGACATGCTGAGAACTGTATGCTAGGTAGGTCTTCCTTATTACTGCTTAATGGGGAAATTGTGGCCAAGTGGACAGCTTGCCAAATATCACAGAACTACCCTAAGTTATAGTATAAATGAGACCTGAACACGAGCCTTGCGGATCCAGGCTTAAATTGCTGCCTACTGGACCACTTTGGCTCTCATAGAAGCAAATAAATTTACCTTTGTTATCTGACAACCGGAAAATATTCCTCATTCTTCTGCTTCAGCAAATTGCCACTAGAAAATGAAGCTAACACATGACTGTGTGTAATTTGGTGCAGTCTTGTGCGTAAGGAAGGCTTTGTTATAATAGAAGATAATTGGATGCATTAATGCCTTTAGCTGCTTGGCTTTCTCAAGTTGAGGAGGGGGGCTAGTTTTCTGATTCTTTGAAAAGCAGCAGCTTTTTCCTTCTGTGGAATATATGAAGCAGCTTTATAGTGGTTGGTCGACTGGTCGGTCTGGCTTAGCGCTGTCCAATGCCACCAGCTGTAACTCTCCAGGGCACATGACTTGCTCCCTTTTAGCTTAGAGGAAAACTGACCTACAAACATTTATTCCCTTTTAGCTTAGAGGAAAACTGACCTTACAAACATTTATAGGGCCAACGACTGTTACCAGTAAATATTACATCACCAGGTGCTATGCATTAATTTGTTTTCTCCCACCCAAGATTCATAAGATTGAAAAGAGAACAAAATGAGGAGAGGTGGAAGTCTTTCTGCCCTTGTTCCTCAGACCTTTAGCGAAGCATGACCTGGAAGCCTTCATAGGGATTAGGGTGTTCTGGGCTGCTCTCTCACTGGTCTCATTGCAGTTCCCAACTTTGGTCAGAGTTGGTGGGGGTGCACAGACTGAACTCCACTGGACATCTCTCAGTCCCTAGGTTCAAGAACCACTGAAGGCTCAATCCTGACATCTTGTGTAACCCCCTGCCCTGGAAGGCAATGATAACCCACCCACTAGTCTTGCAGCATTGGGACCACAGTGCAGGGTGCAAGCAGAGTAGCGGCACATCCCAGTAAAGGTACTCACAGGGTAGCTAGCTCACTGCAGGGGATTAACTTGAGACAACCAAACTATACTTTTTGAAGGGGGATTGGGAGAAAGAGGACTAAGGTTAATCCGGCGTACCTTGAGGGTGTGTTTCCTTCTGACTGACCTCGGATCTAGTGATCAGACAGACTCTGAACATGAATAAAACTCAGTGGCAATCCTAAAAGAGAATTGTACTGGGCACAACATCCTGCTGCCCAGCATCCTGCTCTTCACTGAGAGAGATTCAGGTACCCCAGAAAGGGAGGAAGCCCATGGTTATATTTGAAGATGGGGAAGGAAAAAGAAATGACTCTTGTTAGCAATAACCATAAATGAGGCATCAGAACAAAAATCACTTGACAACCTTGGTAGGTTTATTCCGTACTTTAATGGCTAACAAACCTAATGTAGCATAGACTCTTTGTCAGATGCATGAAGTGGACTAGAAGTTACAAGGCAAATGTCTATGGGAATAGATGAGAAAAATGTATCCAGATATGCTGAGAGGCTTTAAGCTTCACAGTTATTCTTGAGAAAGATATTCAGATTTCCCCCCACTACATATTTATTTATAATTTGAATTTATAAACCGCCCTCCCCTGAGTACACAGGGATCAGGCAGTACACATCAAGAAATAAAAGCATAGACGACTTCCGGTTTAAGTGTTTCACCGCTCGGACGCGTCCCGCTTTGCTCTGATGGGGACGCGCCGAGACCCGGCTGACTGGAGAGGTCCGAGTTCATCTCGGACCTCCACGGGGTCTCTGTAGGAGACCCCCAGCCTGGGGAGCTGAGGAGAGCCTCTTCCAAGACGATGGCCAAGGAATTGAGGCTCACCTTATCCCTGAAAGGTCCCATTACCGTGGAGCCAGTATGGCGCCCAGAGACAACTGCCGGAGCAAGCGGCCACAATCAAAACTTTAAAATGCTTCCAAAGATCTCCAGGGCTCCAAACTGTGATTTAAGCAATGTTCAGGCGATAAAGCGAATTGGACCTTGGTAGTAACTGGAAGTGCCTATGTTTGAAGCATGGGGGGAGAGGGATCCAAGCACCCCCCCTTTCGAATAAATCTTTAAAGTGGTTTTAAATCGGCAATAAAAAGACTTTGAGCTAAAATAAGCGCATAAGAGAACTTAAGCGAATGTAAAAACTGCTAATATATACAAAGTGGATTTAAATCGTGCAACTTTTGTCTTGTTTTGGAAAACTTACTTCTTGTTGATATTATGGCTGGGAGAGGAAGGCGGGCACCGGAGAAAAAACTAGTGACCAGAAATAACATACCAACGACTCCCTCCCAGAACCAGGAAGTAACTACAGACTTTTCTTCACTGTTAGCAAATGCACTGCGCCCCCTAATGGACCAAATGACTAACCTCAACACCAAACTGGACAATGTTCAAAAACAATTAAATCAAATGGATAAAAGAACCTCAGCAACTGAGAAAACGTTGAAAAAAATGGAAAAACAGACTGAGAGCATTAATAAAAGAGTAGATGAAGCAGAGAAGGAAATATCCTCCGACAAAACGCAACTAATACAGCTCCAGCTGGAAAGATCCACGTATGCTTTACGTTTCCACGGGATCCCCAAAGAAATGAACGAGGACTTAAAAGAACTTTTGGCAGATGCCTTGGCCCCATTAATGGATTACAAACACGAAGACTTATTGAAAGAGATGGGCGTGGCTTATAGGACTTATCTGGATTTTATAAAGAAAAATAAATTCCCAAGGGAAACTTATTTAAAATTCACGAAACGATTTACCAGAGAACTGGTGTTAAAATCAACAATGGGAAAATCCTTAAAAATCAAGAATGAAGAGGTAAAAATTTTTAAAGACATCCCCTTCAAAGTCAGAAAACGGAGGAAACTCTACAGGATGCTCACTCTCACTCTGCAAAAAAAAAAAATGGGAATACCATACTATGGCTATTCCCGGAAGGGCTG